TGTATGTATGTATTGAAGGATAGCATTCAATATGTAAAAGTAAAACCAGAAATGATAAAATATGGAATTAAAAATTCAAATTTTTTGACATGGTTTTGACAGAAATTTCAAATAAGAGGCGGCAGTAAATTGTCACCTAATTATTTTTAATATGTATTAACTTTTCATTTTAATTCTCAGTGATAGATTTAATTGAACATTATAGCTTTATTAATAATGAATCTTGTGATTTTAAGTCAAAGTGACAAGCAATTGAGTAGACTGTACTCACATATATGAAGTGAATTTTTTTTTTCTAATCGGAAATCTATTATACACACATTTATTTTTTGAATATTTCAGTTTGAATGAGAGATTCTAAATCAAAATTATTAAGCAACACATTTTAAAGCGTAATCCAGTGATTATCTCCATCAACGTAATTAATTTGGCTCATTCACTAGTAATCTCAGTAATCTGGATAATCCCATTGTCACCTTAAAAATTATTTTGACGGTTCGAATTCCATACGTTTAACAGTTTTCTTCTATATTCCATACGTTAATTTCATGCTCTATTCCATACGTTTAACAGTTTGCAAAGTAAAGTTGTTATAATTTCCAATTTATCTCATAATAATTAACACATTTGGTTCGTGTTACTTTATATTAAAATTTTAAAAAAGATTCTAAAAATGGTCTGAAGAATTTTAAAAATTAAAATGATTAAATTAATATTTTAAGAGTTCTATAAATTTCTATTTGAGTGGGGATTTATTTAAATTAAATAACAAAACATCTAGTTTTAAATTTTTAAATCCCCGTTCAAATTTATTTTGATATTGTGAATGACAATAGTGATATCATCAGTTGAAAATAATTTTTTTTTTTAAACTCAACTTTTTATTATTATGAAAAAACAAAGATAAAAGCTCCAAAAACGTTATTCTTAATCAGAAAGAAAAATTTTGGTAATCAAAACACTAAAGCGTATTTACGTGTGAATAGAACACTTTCGCACAATATCGAAAATTGTATCCTATTTAAAGATAGACGTTCATAATATGTGTTTTTTTGGAATTTTTAATGTCTTCGGCATGATTAGAGGACTGAAATAGAGTAATTTGGAATTTTTAGTGTTTTCAGTATAATTAGGAGCCTGGACAGGCTTAGAAACCAAAATCTTTGTCTTAAAATACAGTTTTTATCTTGTAAGGGCAAACTGATAGTTTGCTAATGTCATAGGCTACTACAATTTATTGAACAATAATGCATTTATGGTAGTGTATGGCATGCTTATATGAGAGATCATTCTAGAATTCTTTAATTTTTCACAATTTGTTTTAAATTTCTAAAATGTTGTGTGGTTGTATAGGTTCTTATACTTTAAAAAATTATTATTCTTTCACCGAAAAACTGTTATTAATTATTGTTTATCACATTTACTGTTCTTATCACATTCTACTTGTACACACACAATTTATTTTATTTTTTTGGTGTTTTCGGTTCAATTTTAATGATGCAGGGGCAAAACAATTTAATGATTGTAATTTGAGGCTTGATTTTTTAAAAATTTTTTTTACGTCACTAAATTATATCAATTTTTTCGATGTGTTCTAAATTATGTCTAATACGTGTTTATATAAAGAGGTTATAACCTTGAAAATTGACAAAATAAAAATTTTAAGTATTTTTATATAAAAAACAAAATTATTGTTTTTGAACTTTCATAAAAGAGATTTCAATCGTAATTGTATAGTAACAATTAATTTTTATTAGACTTAATTGAATTAAAATTAATGTATATGCGATTAAAATTAAATAGATTAGAATTTTCATATATCTGTGTGCAGAACAGATGGGCATATTTATATGAGATAGAGATTGACTTCGAAATTTGGACTCTTTAAAATTAAAATAAAATGTATTTGATTCAAAAAGGAAATTCTTGGTTTAACAGTTATTGACATCTATTATAATATTCAATTATATTTATTGGAAATTATTAAATAAAAATGAAATACATATATAAAATCATAGCGATAGCATTTCTAAGAGCTAAGACAGACTTAAAATTTTTTAGCTTGTCGCCTTTATGTCCAAAACTTTTCCTTAATCCTTTATTTTTAATTCTTATCCAAGAGGCCAATAATTATGTATGTCTTGTCTCTGTAATAGTACTGGGCTAGTTCTATGCGCATTTTAATTTTATCATTCTAATTATAACATTGACTTGTTTAGGACTCAGTTCGTTGTGAATGGAACAATATAATTCATTCAAATGAATTGATTATTCAGGAACCAGATTTTGAAAACAAAATTTTGCTTTGTAATTAAGTATAAAGATATACGAATTAACAATATCTCCAATTTACGTTTTCACTGATGTAGTGATTTATAAACTCTGATTTCAGAAACACCATATTAATTCATAATTTAGAAATTAACTTTTATAAGCTTAATTCTATATTAATATACAGTATTTCCACAACTAAAATGTTACAGCTAATTATATGAGAAGAGTTAGAGTTGCCCTTATTCGTTGTTTTTCTTTTTTTAAAAAGAATAAAAAAATGAATTATTCATTTTATGTAAATCAATAAATTAAAAAAATTATTATAATTAAATGTTTTTTTTTTAAATATTGTAATAAAACGTAAAATTAATTAATTTTTGAAATTTTTTTGTATTATTTGCACTATTAAGCTTTGTTTTGATAAAAAAACCGGTTTTGTTTATTACATACTACTTTTTGAAAATGATTCATTTTAAAATTTAATATTACAATAATATTTAAGCTTGATTATATTGTGATATATTGCATAGCAATATACCTGTATAACAAAATACTTATAATGTATCTATATAATATGTACAAAAATTATGTCTGGCTATGGTGCTATTCTATATATAACGAGCATTACGTAGGTACAAACGTAATACAAGCCAAACTCATGTATAAAAAATGACTATACTATACGGACGTATCTTTATATATTTATAAACATATGTATGTACATATATATGCACAATAATATAATATTACAAAATAAATACATATTTTAAATTAATTCAACCTCGATTGAGTTACGGTTTCTCTATTTATTTTATTTAAAAATGAGCACAAAGTAAATTATTATGAATAGTTTTTATATATATGTAAGTATGTATGTATATTTATTTAATGTTTATTTTATTGGTATATACAACTAGAAGCTTCATTTTATAAATTTAAAAATTATTTTTCTTATTTATTTTGTTTTTATCATTTTAGAACAAAATATTTATCTATAGTTAACCTTTTGAATCTTATGACTAGCTAAATCTTATATATTCGTATTGAAGTGGGAACATATGTTTAGCTTAAACATTATTGTTCTCGATATTAACGTAACAGAAATCAGAAGTCTATAGATATGGTCATTTTATTCCCAATTCTTGTAATATGGGCTGGTAAAAGCATAAAATAAAATTAATGTAATTTGTTTTGTTTAATATTATTGTAGTTGCTTGATGACAACCTTCTTACTATAAAATAATATAAAAACTATGTATGTTTGTATATGATTATTCGAAAAAAAATTAAAGGATTTATGAAATCCAATAGTGGACTCTATTATTCTAATTCAAATAAGAAACGAGTTCTCTATTTAATAGATGAATTTTAAGGAGGCTTTAACATAATTAATGCAACTGAAGGATAAATATTTAAATTTTGAGTTAATTTGCATTTGTTGTATGGAGGCATACATATATTTTATTCATAGTGCATGTAAATAAATTGTTATCATTTAATATTGAATTTAATTTGCCGTATTAGAGACGTGCATTCCTTATATGGAATACAAAAAACAACTTAATGAATTGCTTAACAAATCTTCTCGGTATCTAGCATCTAGAATGTTTTTGAGTCAAATAAAGTCCAAATAATATATAAAACAAAATGAAATTTGAAATTGTCACGAAAAAATATTTTGTTTTATAGTTTATGGTTTTAACTTGTCAAAGCTTAACTAAAAAAATCTGTCCCTAATGAGTTCATGTATTTATAATAAAAATATTCAGCTCCTTCTCAATCAAACCATGATTTGATTTTCTAAATAATTTTCATCAGTAGGAAAAAAATTTAGAAGAATAAATAAAAATTTTGATATTATCACTTTCATAATTTTTAAATCATCATTTTTTTCACTTTTGTTGCTGTATTAGAATAAAAGATTAAATTGAATAAATGTGCAATAATGCCATAATTTTGCACCAAACAGCATGAAAAGCTTGTCTATCTTAAATTATTTTTTAACTATTATTTAACTACAGGAATATTTTTTTCATTTTCTTTAAATATTATGACCATTTTATGATTAGGTATTATTTTTTATTAAAATTATTATTTAATAAATTGATGAATTGGCTTGTTTAATATTACAATATAGAATGAAGCTTTCACAAAAAAAAATTTAAATTATAGTGGTGCTGTAAAAAAAAGTAATATGTAATCTAAATATTGCAGCTAGCAATTTTGTTAATATTTTATTTATTAAGTAATTTTCCATTATGTATAATAATATTAATTTGTAAATGATGAAAATTTGAATTTAATGATTATTAGAATTACAATGATTTTACAGATTTTTAAGAAAATTTTTTGAAATTGATTACATGGTAGTAGTAAAATTCATAAATAATTTTTTAACAGAATACAAAGTGTATTGGATAATAACTTGTGGTTTACTTTTAAAATTAAAATTACAGGAAATTGAAATTTTTAATAAAATTTAACAAGATTCGAGAAAAATTTCAAATACTGTATACTATGCTCATTTACTTTATTCTTAAAATTATAGACCTAAATCACTAAAGTCAACTTAACTTATTCAAAAATTCAATTTTAATTTCTAAAATATTCCAAATCACTTTTAAAGTACTTTTATACATGCCTTTTCAAAATATTAATTTTATTAAACTAAGAAAATATTTAATTTAAAATATTAATTTCCTTTATTATAATTTTTTTAATTTTAGGGTCATTCAATAGCTGGTGGTTGTGCATTAGCATTTGCATGTGAATATCGTGTTATGTTACCAAAATTTATGATTGGTTTAAATGAAACAAGAGTTGGTTTACATATACCAAAATGGTTAATAGCATCAACAAAAAATATATTACCAAGAAGATTAGCTGAAGCAGCATTACTTGAAGGTCGTCTATTTACAACATGTGAAGCATTAAAATTTGGTTTAATTGATGAAATTGCTAAAGATGATGATGATTTAATTCAAAAATCACAAATATTTTTTAATAAATTTAATAAAACCGAAAGTTTAGCTAGAGCAACAACAAAACAATATTTTCGTATACAAGATATTGAAGAATTTAAAGCATTTAGAAAAGAAGATTTAGAAACGTTCCTTTTTATTGTTAATCAAGAGAAATTTCAAAAGAATTTAGGAAAATATTTAACAGATTTAAAAAATAAAAAGAAATAAAAATTGATTTTGGTTTTTTTTTTGTATAACACAATAATAAAATTATATTTTAAATATTTAAAAAATTAATTTGAAATTTTTGATTTAAAAAATTAAAAGTGATAAGAGTTGAAAGTTTTAATAAAATTTAAATTTTTTTTATATATAAAATTTAATTATTATAATTATTATTTTTAATATTATGAGAAAAAAAATTTGAAGGTTGATTCCTTAAAGTAAATAAATATCATTAAAGTAAAATAATTTTATAAAAATTAATTAGTTTTTCATTTAAAAATTTTAATATAATTGAAAATTCTTGTTTTATAGTAGTCTTGTAATCGATTAAGTTACAGAAATAATTAAAAATTAATCTGCATTAAAGAGTATTCAATTAAAACAATTATATTTTGTCACACATTAATTAAAAATACTGTAAACTTTTTGAATAAAATTGTAATGTTTTTGAAAATATTATGAAATATTATGAAAATTCATATTAAAATCTTCAAAGATTTTCTAATTCTTCACGAACTTCAACTTGAATATGATGAAAAGCTTCACGCATTTGACTCATAAAATAATTAATTTCTGTTAATTTATTACGATTTCGTACCAATTCTTCACTAAAATACAAAGTAAAATATTATTATTAGTATTTTAAATGTTATTGTATTAATTCTATTGTTACAGGCAATAATTTAAGTCGAATTTTGTATTCTTTTTTTGTTTTATTCGAATTCTTTACATTTTAATTTACAGTCTGTAAAATTTTGTATAATGTACCACAATTCACCTGGAGATATAATCAGGAATGCAAAACAATAATGTCATTACAAAAACAAAACTTAATTTTAAACTTAATTTGCGATTCCTAATTTAATAATTTTCTGGAAAATTGAACTGAATTTAAGTTTTTGTAAACTTTATTTATATACATTTCCAAAATTTGTTCAATATATTCCACTTATTTTCGAAATTATGACCAGAAATTAAATTTAAGTTTTCAATTCAACATTTTTAAAGACAGTTTTTTCGACTTATTCGACTTAAAATATTAAATAATAATTCGACTTCCATATAAAACCACATTTAATAAAAAAAAACTTACTCTCTCTTTACTGAAACAAATTCTTTGACCCAAGTTTTACTACGTGTTATTAAACGATCTTCACGTTCATTTATTTTATCAATATGCCGTCTTTTAATACTCTCAATTAATTCAGGAATTTTATCTTTATTATCAAGATATTTATGTAATGATTTTGGTACAATATCATAATTACCACCATGTGATATATGATATTCAATATAAGCAGTTACAACATCCAATAAATTTTTAATAAAATTTTTACAAATTTCACGTAATGTGACAAATAATTTTAAAACACTCTCCAAAAATGATTGTAACATTTTTGTAATATTTTGATCGAATGTATTTAGAACTTCCTAAAAATAGAAATATTAAATTTAAAATGTGAAACAAATTTTGAAGAAAACCTGATTTCAAAGTTGCAATGAAACGGTATTAAAACACAAAAAAAAGTTCCTGCAGTGTATTAATACTTCATTGCTCCAAATTTGAAATCTGTCTTTTGAATTTAAATTGTACCTCAATTGCTTCATACAAATTGACTTCATGTCCCATTAAAATCTCCCACAAATTATCTAATTTATTTTTAAAACTGTTATACAATTCATCAATTTTTGTTTTCGTTTCAACGATCTGATTTGAATTTTCATCTAATCCTTGTTCAAGATATTTTTCAATTTCTATAAATAATGCTCTAGCATTATTGAATGTGTCTTCACTTTCTTCTAGGAAATCTTCAGTAGATCTAAAAAAAATTAATTTTCATTTTGCCTATAATATTAGAATCTAAGTTTATTAATAATAAAATGAATGTACGATATTGATTTCCTTTGACTTGATTCTTGTCCTTCCTTCAAATATTTCTCAAATGTTTCAATTTCTTCTTTTCGTTCATCATATTTTTCAACACCAATTTTATAAATTTCTTGGGTTATTTTAAAAAGATCTTCATTGTAATTATTAATTAATTCTATAGCATCTGGATTAATTGTACGTAATTCTATTGCTTCTTCATCATTATCCCATAAGCTATTGAATAATTGTCGTTCATTTAGAAATTCAACAAAACATTTTGAAAGTCTTATTTCATCAGCAATATCTTTTTCTTTTTTTGCAATTAATATCAACTCATCTGATTCATTAGTTTCAATTAATTCAATAGCATGTCTAAAATTATTAAAAATAGGAAGAATTAAAATATTTTTTAAGTCAGAAAACCGATAAGGCTAACAATATGACAATATGATCTTAGTTGTTATATATTTTACCTATGTTTTTCAAGGCATTCTTCACGTTCCTTCTCAGTTATAAAAATGTAATTATAATATTGTAAATTTGGGAGTAATGCGGCCAAATATACTCTTAATGGTTTTTTATCATCTTTAGCTATTGGATTACCTTCCAAATTGAGAACTTTTAGATTTTTAAAGAATCTAAATCTTTCGAGCTAGAGTAATAAAAATATGAAAATTTGAAATAATTTTTTTTAACTTTAATGTTATTTAAAATTCATGAAGCATTGAAATTGTTCAAAATTATATTACACTCCTAAATATATGCAATATTATTATATTATAAATTTATTTAAGAAATGCAACTGACTAAATCTATGCAATTTTTAATATTTTTATGTCATGATCAAATATCGTAATGCCATAATGTACCTACACATAAAATGTACAGGTTCGAATCCTGGCGGCAGCTCTATGTTATAATTTAATAAAACTCTATTCATAGAATATACAATATAAGGTTATGAGCTAAATTTTATTAAAATCAACCAGATATTCGAAACCATAGTAAGTTTTTCTATAAAATAATCTGGTCTTATAAAAAACTAATTTTAATATACTACATATTTTGGTTACATTTGTAATATTCAATCTTTTACTAAATAGAATTGGGTTATTTTGCCTTATTGCTACAGATTTATAAGCAAAATTCTACAGAATTTCTAAATATTCCAAATTTTGTGATGTCTAAGTGGAAGTTTACATTTATCAACTAAAACAAATAACTGCTTATCAACTAAAATAAGTATTAATGTTTGTTGCTTAGTTAGCTAGGAGATAGAATTTAAAACTGCTACAAAATTTAAATATTTTTTTACTTACACCTTCAGAACTATCAATTTTATTATTACCGATACTTAAAATTTCTAAACATTTTAAATTATCTAAATTTTCAATTTTCATTATTAAATTATTAAATAATGAAAGTGATTCCAATTTTGTTAATGTTTCTAAATTTTCAATTTTTTCAATATAATTAAATGATAAATTTAATTCTTTTAAATTAATTAATGTATCAATATTTTCAATACGTTCCAATTTATTAAAGCTTAATGATAATTTTGTTAAATTTGGTAAGATCCACAAATGATCAATTCGTAAAATATCTAAAAAGGGAAAAAAAAAAGAATTTTTGTTATTAAATTTTTAAATAAATAATTACTAAAATTTTTATTAGTAAGACAAGTTCTCTTCTAAACAATTTTTGGAATATTTGCATTTGTAAAATTTAAATGACTTGAAATCAAATTTTTCATAAAATTTCGAAATTAATCCAAGTTAAACTGCGTGTTAAATGATATAAGAATTATGATTTTACTATTAGGCATAATATAAAATTTAATCTAGTTAATTTTAACAAGAATAAATTAATTTCATTAATTAAAATATAATTGAATCAGTAATTAAGCGCAATTACTTAAAATATTGCCGAAAAAAAATTGACCCGAATTCAAAAATTTGTTAAAATTTTAAACGAAGTATGAAATTCTTTAATTTGCTACAAAATTCTGATACAATCAAAATATAAATCGGAAAATGAGTATGAAGGCAATTCGAAAAAATTTAAGCTTCATGCGGCTTAGTAAAATATTTTTGAAGAAGCTTCTTTAAAACATACAATAAAAATTATTATTATTTCTGAAATGAACTTGCTTCCAGTTTAGAATTGTCTGTTCGTACGTATATATAATTTATATTCAATTAATTTAATAACGAATTATATACGGGAGCTTCCGAGACTCAATTTTACTCGAAAGGCAGGGTGATAGAATAAATTCTCCATTAAACATTATTTACTCGTAACACAACTGATAGGTAACCAATTTTTATACGTGAAGTGGATGTTGAGATTCTGATCTTCATTTAGATTTCGGAATATTTATGAAAGCTCAAACCCGACATCAAAAATCGAATTTAACGTTTATTAATTAAGGAAATTAACGCTTATTAAAAAAGGAAAGTAAAAAACGATAAATATCGTTGAATGTTTTTTGTTAGTTTGCATCCATTCTATAACTCTGCTTTTGGGAATACCATCGAGTCTCGATCAAAATATATTCCTACTTATTATACTTACTTTTAAATTCTAATCTCATTATTGTAAATTTTTCATATTCAATTGGTTCTAATTCTTTTAAACGTCTCTGTTCACCATAATATAAATTTAAAAATGCATCTTGTATCATTTTATGTGATATTACACCTGGTTCTAAACTTGGATCAATGACCTCTTGTAATGCACTTATATTTTTCAGCATTATTGTTGTTTCTGTTTTAATTATTAATTCACAATGTATGTATAATGTCCTGTAATTGGATATGAAAATATTTGAAATGAAAATTTAATATTAAAATAATTGACAAATTGAAATAATTAAATAAATAAATAAATATATGATTTATTATAGCTTAGCTACTAATATCGTATATTTTGATAATTCAATTTGAATTTAATTTCATTTATTTCCTATACACACAATATACTTGTATAATTTAAGTGCTTAATTCTTGAAATAGAGATTTATGTAAACATAATTATTGTATACATATACGTGCATAAATAATAAAAAGGAAACAGGATATAAAAAAAAAATATATTTTTATTTATTAAAGAAAACTTCAATTATATTATTGGTAAATAATAATGTCCTAAATATTTAGGAAATTATTGTTAATATTTTCTGTTATTGTATAGCCAGTCACTGACCTCTTAAATGTGTACATTTACATACATATAAGAAAATTATGTTATGTATGTTAACAATATGCTAAGTGCACACAATATTATACACATGTGCATGCATACAAACCTTTTTCTATCTAAAAAATAGTAAAATATTTTCTACTTCCTCCTTTAATATAAAGATCCTTTTATATACGAGTATTACAAGTGAATTCAAAATATTATGCGGAACCTATCTATTATTATCCTTGTAATATTTTCTTTTTTCTAATTGTTGTTTTTAGGTGCAATATTTTATGATTAAAATGCGATTAAAATCAAAAATTCTTCCTTATTCAAAGCCTTTAATGGTTAGTTTTTTATAATTTTCTTGTGGAGTGTTAAAGCGGTGGTCTAAAAGATATCTAGTACATATAACAAACTAAAATTTTTACAAGAAAATATTAAAAATAAATTTGAGTTTGTATGTAGGTTGTTTTATTTGGAATATCCATGAAAATATTATGTACATATGTACATATATGCGTAGTTATATATTTATAACGTAGTTTGGTGATGGTAAAAATTTTTCTTAAATAACAATTATTTTGTTTGTATTGTTATCGTTGTATTATTGTTATTGTTTATACTATTCTTGTACATGTAAGGCAAAAAGTATATTATTGGAGTGTTGAAGCAATCCTTGTATAAATTGAACAGATGCTTATATAATATGAATTTTTATATATATATATATGTACAAATGTACGTATTAAAAAACGATTACAATATTGTTTGAATATTGCGATAAATTTACAAAATTAAATTGAATACAGCAAAATCGACACGATTTTAAGGAATAGTTTCTGACTTATTTTAAATTTATAAAATTACCTAGGAGAGAGAAGTTAGAAGTTTGCATATATACCACTATTCAACTAAATATTTATAAAATCTATTAAAGAAAATTGTTGTTTTATTGTATATTATGTCTATATGAGATTCACGAGTATGTGTTAAAATTTTAAAATCAATCAAGTGCCCAACAAGTAATTTTCAGTTACTTTCAGTAGTTTGAGTATTTTTAAGAATTGGACCACAAATATGGGATGTAGCGGCGTTATGTAGTTCAAAAAAAAGCTTCCAAATTGAAACATTATAACGTTTGATGGTTTTCTACATGTCGAAAGTGTAACAACACATATTTGGAATTGTGTTGGTAACGGCGTTAATAACGTATTATTAGAGGTATACACAGCGACGATTCATAACATATATGCAAAGTAAGCATTAGTAATATAAGCTAATAAAACTGGACACTAAAATGAAAACTTAAAATTTTAAAATTTATTCTTTCAAGTTGTTTCCATTATTTATTTTTCAACAAAATTTTTTTTATCTATTTACAGCTTAATTAACTCGATAACAAGTATAGCTTTATAAAAACAGGCTTCAACTCTATGACTAATCCTGCATTCAGCATGATAAAGTTGTAAAAACGTTCAATTTAGTTATTATTTTTCATTGCTTTGAAAGCGGCGAGGGGGGGGGGGCATACTTTTTACATATCACATTATGCACTGAATAAGTTAGCAGTTTTGAAAATACTCATAAATACGAATTTATCTTCAACAGAAAGGATTGTGTTAAAAAAAATTGTGCCTATTTCAATTCTGCAAAAATGTCAAAAAAAAACGAGATTTCAATTTTTTTTTTTCAAAAATGATCAAAAAATAGATCTATTGTATGTAAGTATATATATAAATATATTTTAAAAATATATTTTAAAAGAGAAGTTCAAAATTCGAGGCAGCGAACAACAACATTTAAATATTTACCTGCATACATTTATAAAGAACTGTGAACCAATTTTAATCATAAATTAAAATTATTTAAAAAAAAAAGTTCATTTAGAATTTCCAAAATTTCAAACAAAAAATTTTATATTAAATCGGAAACTAAATTCTTAAAGTATAATAAAACAATAATAATAATAAAAAAAATTAACTTCCTTTTTGAAAAAAAAACAATAAGAATGAACAAACAAAAAAACAAAAGTAAAAAAATTTTTAATAGTCACTAGTATTTTTTTCTTTATTATTGCTTTTTTTTATTGTTGTACTTAACTCTAGTAACTAAGTTCTATTTTGTTTTGGATCATTTTATAATTTTTTAAATGCATTTTTTTTTTATTTGTTACTATGGTAATTACATTGGTATTGCTATAGAAAATCCACAATCCCTCAATAATATTCTCTAATATTTACATTTGTATAGAGTCACAGTGTGTGCACATATGTACATACACACGAATAAATGTAGTACGAGTGAGTTAGGGAAAAAATAACATTTTTGACGGTTTCAATATTAAAATTTTTTACCAAATATTTTAGTCATCTTTTAACCTGCCATGTTCGTTTATGGTAAGGAAAAATTTTTAAAATAAAAAAAAAAAAAAACAAAAATTTAATTTTCTTTTTAATAAGGATTAAAGTAAAAATGTAATTGTTAAGGAAAATTTTATAGATTCCAATTAAAAATGTGAAAGAGAATAATTGAATTTTCCAGGATAACAAATAATTTTTGTGACAAATATGATAATTAAATTAAATAAAATTAATAAAGAAAAATGAATAATGAAATTAAGAATTTAATTTAGTGAAAAATTTTAATTTTTAATAAAAATAATAAAAATAATTGCAAATAATTATAAAAAAATAAAATCAATAATCAATAATCGAAGAAATATGCAAAAGATAGAAAGAGATAGAGAATAAATTTATTGTATAAAAAAAAAATTTAATCCTTTTTTTTTTTGTTTATTTTATTTTTTGATTGGTAAAAAATAAAATTGGTTTTTTGTTGTCAAAAATCCCAAAACAAAAATTCAATAAAAAAAACAAACAAACATTTTTGTGACATTGTGAAAAAATATTTTGTTTTTAATTTTTATTTTTCTACAGAATTATTTACAAAAAAAAAAAATAATAATTTTTATTTACCTTTAATTTTATAATTTATGAAAATATTTTGCAATTTTTATTATAATATTGCAACTATATATATGTAAAAATCCGAATGACTGCAGCAATTATAATTGAATTAATTTACAAAAAGGATATTCGAAGGATATTCAAAGAGTTTATATAAATTCTTATTGCAAGGCGATATTAAAATATTTTACAAAAAATAAACAAAATTCTCTTGTAAGTAAAATTTAATTTTAATTTAAATTTTTTGCATATTTTATTTTTTATTTTAAAAAAAGGACATTTGTTTTAAGGTAATAAAAATTTATTTGTTTTAATTTCTAATTTTTATTGTTAATATTTGAAGAGGTCATAATATTTGAATTTGCTACAAACATTTTATTGAAATTTTATTGAAATTTTAAAACAATTTTATTTTTATAATATTAAACATTGAATTTTAAAAATATTTATGTGTTGTAGAATGAGCCAAATAATTCAATGAATTTGAAGAGAATGAATGCGTATAGGGAATATTGAGAAATCAAAAAATTATAAGAAAGAATAGAGACATCTAATGTTGCGAATTATTTCACTTAAAACAAATAAATTTATTTTAAGTGAAATTATTGTTAAGCTCATACTTTTGTTTTCGAATAATTTTGATACACGTAAAATTATTTTAATTTCCGTCATGTTAAAAACTCAGATTCAAGAGTATATAGTTCAGTTTCATTTCAAAAATAATATTAAATTAAGCATCTTGTGCTAAGAGAAACAATGGTTATAATATCGAAATTTGTAATATTGAGACAAGATTATTTTGAAATTTCGAGTTGTTGAGATTAGGAAATAAAAATTTTGCAATATTTTGCTCTAAAACATTTACTCTTATATTATAATTTTAAAAATTTTTACGATTATATTTTGAACAACTAATAAGCAAAATATTGTTTCAAAAGAGATTTAAGAAGAAGTTTCTTTAAAATTTAAGGATGTTTTAAATTTTAACATAGTAAAGCACATTTTTGGAATAAATTAATTGAAAAATTTCAATTTAAAACTTTATAATAGAATTCTTAAGAGTATTTTCAAGAGTTTGACTAAAAGATATACATATATTGGAATATTGCCAAAGACCTAACACTATTTATACTTTCTTATTCCTCTAATTATATTTTTAATGTGTAGAAGGTTTAATTTTCGTATTAATAAGAGTTTATTATGGTTGAAACAGGTAAAATACAGCCAGTTAGCAATTTTATGTGTTAAAAAATTTATGTTTAGTTATAATTGAATTAAAAGAATTAGAAAATGAAGTTGTAACTGTATTTTTTTTTTTAAATAAGTATTTATTTAGTTTATAATTTAGGGATATTAATATTGATAAGAGAAATCACAAAGAATCAAAGTGTTTATACCAGTTTGCTCAATTGAAATTTCCCTGACCTTCCAATTATTTTCCAATTTCGAGGAATATTGAACATTATTTTACGAGTATTTCTTTATGGATCCTCTTCAACTGAATATAAAAACATAATTTCTATATAAAAATATTTTAATCAATTGAACAAACATTGACGTATATATTTTTACTAATATTAGCTTATTTGCTCTTAAAATATGTAATA